ACAATATCAGGTTCTGATGTGTCCAAATTGGTGTCTTTGTAACTACTGTCTAAGACCGAAGTGAGAGCTGGTGTCCTGCAGGTTTCGGATGTGTCTTTGAATCAACACAGCTGATTTAAATGGCTAAATAACTTCTTCAACATGTCTTGAAGTTCTCCAGAGGCCTGGTAATGAACCAATCGTTTGATTCAGGTGTGTTGTCCCAGGGTGAGATCTAAAACCTGCAGGACACCAGCACTCGAGGCCTGGAGTTCCCCAACCCTACACACTGAAGGTTCCAGAGTTAGTACTAGCATATTTGTTTGGTAATTAATAATAAATTTCATAATCTTAGAAAGTGTTACTCTATCTGTGGTCGTTTGCCTTCATAAGAGCTTTTTAGATACTAACGTCCTCTGACCACAACTTTATTGGCATTTACAGCATGGACACATGTTAGGGATCAGTAGGAAAAAAGATTTTCAGAATGTGCAGGTGGTAATTATGTGGTAATGTAACCATGTCCATGTCTCAATGGAAAGCACTGCCAGACCGCAACATATAAAAAATGATGTCACTTCACAGTATTTTGTATTAAACTGCCTTTTTTTTTATAATTTATGAACCGATTATGGTGGAATCTGAATCATTGCAGCCAACTTTTTTACCTACTGAAATAATCTATTATGATAAAGACAGCCCTTTTTGAAGAGGCCAAGCATCAACAATCTAAAATTACTAGTCAGGATAAACAGGACCTGTTCAAAGAAATAAGTAGTAATTATGTGTGCAAGTTTTTTGTTTTTTTTTTAACTGTAACCTCACAAAGTTACGAAGTCATCCACATGCATTGCTAAATGAGGCAACAGTGTTTGTAGGAAAAACCAAACCATTATGAATCCTCTTATAAAAGGGATGTTAGGTGAAGTGGATAAGCATGTAGTTAGTGTGAATAAAAACCCTTGGTGGATGGGTGATTTTATAACTGTGACATGTCTGAAAAGACCACCATATACAAATGTTAATGGGTGTGCTATGTCTTTACATTGAAAGTTATCACTGAGAGAGAAAGAAGCAACAGAAGTTGTCTTAGTTTGTTCTCTCAAACAGTTCACAGCCTCTGTGTGGGTGCAGCTGCTGTGAGAGAGAAAGAGAGAAAGAGAGAGCAGAAGCTACATCAGCTATAGATTTGTCAGTATGAAAGAGATAATTCTGGATGACAAAGTTGCTAATTAGCACAAAAATGAGGTGAACGGAAGCGTAATGATCACTGCTGAGCGTGAGCAAGATGTATTGTGCCCCAGTTGAAATTGCTGAAATTTTTCATATTAAAGATCAAATTATTATCTAAATTCCTACATTGAAAACGGAATACCATCCAAATCACAAATA